TTCAGGGTTACTTGATAATTACAGACAGTTGTGTTGGAGCAGGGTTATAACTGAATTCTGCAGGACAGTAGCTCTCCAGGAGCAGGGTTGGAGATCCCTGCAACAAAGGCTGCGTTTCACTTGGCATTAACATGCGATCACCGTGCAGACACGATGGCTGGATTACGTTTACATTACACTGAGATCCGATCACAATGCATCCTTGACTGGACCAGGACATGCTGACCGGATAACATTCAGATCAGAAGCGCGTTGACACTTGTCTTTTCAATGTGTATGTGGACAACAACCGGATACAGTTTGCATGTTAATGCCAAGTGTAAACGCAGCTTTTCCCTAGAGTAGGGGTGCCAAACTCAGCTCCTGGAGGACCACAGTCTTGCAGAGCTTAAAGCCTGTGTTATACTTTCCGCATGAGCAATCTGGACGCGTACACGGACAGCGCGGACGCGGACTACTTGTATTTATACTACCGAAAGCATACACTGATGGTCCGATCTGCGGACGTGTTCCATACATGCGCAGTAGATCAGCGCAGTGGATTGTACAGGTTTGAGTAGCTACGGGCTTCTTCACACAGCCTGCGCATGCGCAGTTGGTGCTTTTGTAGCCTACTACATACACAAAAAATGGGAGGCACACAGATGTCCGCACAGAGCCTCTGCGCACACTCTCCGATGACGATTTTTACATCACGCATACCATAGCGGACCCTAGCGGACTCGCGGACGCGGAAAGTATAACACAGGCATAAGGTCTATAAGTGGTTGCTTAGGTGTTCAGAGTCATTGCTAGGTGCTGCCAGGATATTGTTAGACAGGTCCTAGGGTTTTCTGGGTGGTAAAGCAGTTTTACATGCATTTTACACACCGCAGTACACAATCAGATTAAAGAATACGAGCACATCTTACATGTGTTTGAAGGTCAAAATAAGCCCTCCTCTCCTCCATCCGCTCTCGGTTGAAATTACTGTTGAATTCAGCAGCTTTTTTAGCTGCTTTCTTTATGTACTCGGGCACTTTACTGGCTTCAACTTTTTGAGGATTCTGTTGCTGCATTTGCTAAAAAAAGAAAACAGTCAGACCATTAGGACTCACAGATTTTTAGTGAAGTACAACCAGTATTAATCATTATTCCTGCATACACCAGCCTTTACTTATATATATATATATATATATATATATATATAATTTATCAGCAAAGCATTTTTTGATCAAAAATACAGTAAAAAATTTTTTTTAAATATTTTGTATAATATTTTGAAATATTATCATTTCAAATTGTAATCAATTCCTGTGATAGTAAAGCTATATTTCCAGCATCATTACTCCAGTCTTCAGTGTCACATGATCCTTCAGAAATCATTCTAATATGCTGATTTGCTGCTCAAAAACATTTCTGATTATTATAGTCCATTTAAAAAAAACAAACAAAAAAAACAGTTGTGCTACTTAATATTTTATGCAAACTGTAATAATTTTTTCAGGATTCTTTGGGGAAAAAAAGCATTTATTTGAAATAAATTTTTTTTGTAACAATTTAAAGTCTTTACTGTCACTTTTGATCAATTTAATGTGTCTTTGCTAAATAAAAGAATTTATTTCTTTAAAAAAAAGGTAACACTTTACAATAAGGTTCCATTAGTTAATGTTAGTTAATGTATTAACTATCATGAACGAACAATGAACATTACAGTATTTATTAATCTTTGTTATTGTTAGTTAATGAAAACACAGTCGTTCATTGTTAGTTCATGTACATTCACAGTGCATTAACTAATGTGAACAAGCACAACTTTTGATTTTAATAAAGCATTCGTAAATGTTGAAATTAATATTAGCTAAGATTAATAAATGCTGTAGAAGTATTGTTCATGCTCAGTTCATGTTAATGTAAAGTAGTTAACTAATGAACCTTATTAAAAAGTTTTTCCAAAAATAAAAAAATATAAGAGTAATATCCAAGGTCTATAATAAATAAAAGAGTGTGTTACTCACCGCACTAAGAGTGCTCACAGAGTACTCTTTAGTGATCCGCTGGCGCTCTCGCTCCTGGAGGATGACAGAGTACTCTGCATGTTTGACTGGATACTCCTTCATCATCAAATCAATGACTTCATCACTGCGCAGAGCAGTGAGGCCTGAGGGAGAAGGGAGCAATTTCATTATAGGGGTCTTGCATTTAGTCTCAAACTACACTCAACTTCTTACTACAACTACTACAATAAATTAAGATACAAGTCAAAGCTGAAATGCCAAGTGGAGCAAATTAGGAATTAAACCACTCTGTTGGAAAAGTAAAGCATTTGAGTTTATATACTGACATTACATTGGATATTTTCAGGGTAAGAATAAAGAATTACATGTTATCAATTTTACAAAATTATTATTATTAGTTTCACAAATTCAAGAAATGGAAATGAGAAAGATTGAATTCTTACCCAAAGTACACTGCGTTTCCGTAATAACATTTTGTTCTCTCAGATAAAGTTTTTCTTTGTGAGACAGGTCTCTTCTTTCCAAATCTGGTAAAGAAAAAAAGAGGGTGTTGGGACAGTCACAGTACAATACAAAAAGTCATCTCTGGCATTTGTAACTAAATCTGAAAACCAAACCACTATTTGACCAATAACGTGAAAACCATTCAGTTCAATTTTTCTCTGCAGACAGTTAGAGGCTTATTGTTCACACCTGGATATTTCCGCTTGAATGAAGTGACTCCTAAGTACTCGCTCACTTGTTCTTGTAACATATAATACTCCCCTGTGTCATCCGGGGGCCATTTGTATTCGGTCAGATTCTCAGCAGGAAAGTATGTTGGTCTGTAATGAAATAGTAAGGCTCAATAAACAGTAAAAGCATCAGAATAAAGATTAAAAACTAGATTTTTGGCTAGCCAATAAAGCCACAAACAGGTGACAGGTGAGGATTCACAGAAATACTAGAAGCCACTAGCCACATAGGTAAAATATGATGGTGCAAAGAAAAACAGCTAACTATTTTCATTGTCAGGAGGGAATACATTTTAATGTAACGAAAAAGAAAGAAAGAAAGAAAGAAAGAAAGAAGCAAGCAAAATACTGGCTGGTAAGAAATATTTTAGAATAGTGCTGGGCGGTCTGACCAAAATTTTATATCACGGTATTTTTCACACTTCTGCGGGAAAGTCAGACCTCACGTTCGCGGGACAGCACTGGCGAAATCTTCCAACTGAATCATAGCTAAGGTTTATCCAAAACAGTCGCTAGTTTTGTCAGTATGAATATTCTATGGAAAAAAGCCGCTAAAAGGGTCTGAAAGTTGCTAAATCTAGTGCTAAAGTCACGCTTGTGTGTGTGTGAGACGCGGGAGCTGGTGGCAGGGGGCGGTGGATATTCGTGGCGGTCAATGTGGATATTGTGGATGAGTTCTTCTGTGTCATCACGTTCTATTAGTTCTACAGCTTCAGTTTCGGAACTTTCACGCTTAGTAACACATACAGCTGTTCCCTCACCACAGTGCAACAGTGAAAAGGGACCCCTTTCAAACAGTGTCGCGTTCCGAACGTTGTTTAAGCGACATACACCGGTATTGCGGTATTTTAAAAATTCATATCATAACAAAAATAAACACCGGTATTCGGTATGGACCGGTATACTGCCCAGCACTATTTTAGAAAATAATTTCATACGGCAAGAACATGCAAAATCATTGTTTTATTTTCCAAGCATAGGTCAATTTTCAGATTTTGGGCTATTTGGCATCTCAAAGTATTGCTTCAGACTAGTGGAAAGCAAATACGCAAAATACACTTGAATTTGTATTTCTTTTATTGCACTTTTTGCATCCTTTGATTTCTATTACAATATATATCTTTAAAGGCCGTTTTCTCAAAATGAGTTTTTCTTCCTGCACTCAGCAGCATTTACATAACACCAAACTTTTCAGCTTTAATCCTATCTATATTCTTAAGGTTTTTATACAGGGGTTTGTTCATATGTCATTCGCCTGGTTTTACACAACGTTTTATTCCTAAAAACGCACGTATTTGTATTTTTTCTGGCTGTTGACAGTATTTTCCGTTTTATGGAGTGATAAAAAGAGATAAATTAAATCCCTCTGTATAAATCTTTGAGTCTAATAAGAAACCAAAACGAAGAAGAATAGATTTATGCTCTGGAAATGTATGCAAATGATTGCATATTTAATTAGATAATGCCTCACTTGCATATTTATATGTTTAAACATGAGACTGAAAAGGTTTAATATATATTACAAAAAATGTAATACAAAAACTATTTGCAATTCCTATTATAAAATGAATCAACTGGGGTAGTATTGATATCTATTAGTTATTTGTTTACCCTATTCATCTGGTGTGTCTTGCCTTGAAAGTAATTTACAGATCAGCATGGTACAATAGGAAGAGTGTGTGTAATGAGCTCTCACCCCAGCTCATGGCTGGATGTGTCACAGCTCCTGGAACTGTCCCCTGACCCCATCCTGCGTCTCTTGGGGGCTTGACTGCCATCACTGGAGTTCTCCTCAATATCATCCTGTTCGAAGAGTCAGAAATACGATCCTGTCAAAGATATTTCAATCTGGATTGAGAGATATTATGTTTAGAAGGGCTACCTAGGTCTAAAGCCCATGAAATCATACTATGTGGCCTTGAAAACTATCAATGACTGTCCAAAAACCACCTAGGAAGACAGCTGGGGTCCGTTCATATGCTTAATTTGTTTAAAAGTATAATTACTCTGAGCATCATCCGTTCATCTATATCTTTAGCTCCATCGGCTAGCAGGCTAATAGTAGGTGAAGGTCAAGGTCAAGTTTATTTATATAGCCCTTTAAAACAACATAAATGCTGACCAAAGTGCTGCACAACATACAAGACAAAAACATCCTCATACAATACAATTTAAATACTAATAAAATAAATCAAAAGAAAACAGAACAAAAATTAATAAAGTTAAAACAAAACAAAACATTACCATGCAAAATAAAACAAAATTAAAGCTAAAATATTATCAAATTAAGCATATGCCTGAGAAAAAAAAAAAGTTTTAAGAGAAGATTTAAATGTGGATAGAGTAGGGGCTAGTCTAATAAACAATGGTAGGGAATTCCAGAGCTTTGGACCAAGAACTGAGAAAGCCCTGTCACCTTTAGATTTAAGTCGAGATTTTGGAACATTTAATAACATCTGGGTGGAAGATCTAAGTGTTCTCTCAGGAGAGTAGGAATGGAGAAGATCTGAAATATAAGTAGGGGCAAGACCATGAAGTGATTTATATACAAATACTAAAACCTTAAAATCAACTCTGAATTGAACCGGTAACCAATGAAGTGACGCTAACACAAGTGTGATATGTTCTCTCTTTTTTGTCCCTGTTAAAAAATGAGCCGTGGCGTTCTGTACTAGTTGCAAGCGCGAGAGCGAGGACTGATTTATTCCAACGTACAGAGCGTTACAATAGTCCAACCTGGTTGAGATAAATGCATGAATAACGGTCTCCAAATCACTAAAGCTCAGAATATTTTTAAGCTTGCAAAGTCCCCCAAGCTGCAGAAAACTGGCTCTAACTACAGAATTGATTTGTTTGTCAAATCCGAACTCAGGGTCAAGGGTAACTCCCAGATTTTTAACTTTATCGCGGATGTTTTCTTGAAGGGGGCCCAGGGTAGAACTTAGATTATTTAAAAGGTGTGAAGGGCCAAACAATATAACTTCAGTCTTTTTCTGATTTAGCTGAAGGAAATTATTGTCCATCCAAACCTTAATGTCCTCTAGACAAGCTAGCAGAGAGGACACTGAATCAGTACCTGATTTTAAAGGAAAATAGAGCTGAGTATCATCGGCATTAATATGATATGAAACTTTATGGGACTCAAAAATTAAGCGGAGAGGGAGTAAATATAAAGAAAATAAGATTGGACCCAGAATTGAGCCCTGGGGCACCCCAGAAGTGACGGGAACTGAGCTTGATGAAAATTCTCCAATTTCCACTGAAAAACTCCTATTTGTGAGATATGATGCAAACCAATCTAATGCAACATCACGAATGCCAACTTCAAGGTCTAATCTCTTTAACAGGATACGATGATCCACTGTATCAAAAGCCGCACTTAAGTCCAATAATAGCAGAATAGTACAAATAAACAAAGGGGACTATTGCTCACATTCACGCTGTTATAGACGCAGTAACTGCATAGATGTATACCTCACATGCTACAGTGTTAGAACTGTGGTCTGTGCAACAAGATGTAGCCGTAAACACCCACAAACCTTCGCAGACTGCGTCCCAGGAGTCTCAGGATTGCTGTCGCACGGTCTCGGTGAAAGAACAGCTGCCATGTTGACGCTCTGCTGATGAAAGAGCGTCACATTCCGACCGGAAACTAGGAACGCGAGGAAGCGTTCCGACCACAAAAAAAGTCCTGTTTTATATTTTAATTGAACAACATTTTATACTGAAAACAAGATTTCATTTAAATCACTTTCTTATTTACATTTTATTACATTTTTATTGGAACAATTTATACTTAACTTATATGAAATATTTGCTATGCGTTTGTATTATTATTATTTTAATAGACATAACTATTCATTAATTAATTTGTTTATTTATTTCTTGATTAATCATTTATTTATCAATGATTATTAAGGTTTTCATTTTAAATGTTTCAAGTTATGTTGAGATTTCTTATGAGATTTGTTTTAGACTATGTTTGTTGCATTTCTAACAGTGGGTTAAACTGGTCTTATTGTTTAGCATGAAATACCGTTCTTTTAAATAAATAGGCTGCTGTTTACACTCCCATTTCCTTATGAACTCCTTGTCATTTGTTGCACTGCACTGTTAATGTTTTTTAATGTCTTGAAAAAAATGAACGTCTGTTAATGTTTATTAAGATTATTATTATTTTTTTAATATCTTGAGTATTCTTGTTTTTATACTCTATTACCTAAGATTAGAAGTTATAAATTATTGAAACTAAAGGCAACATTGATTAGTGACAAAATATTATAGAAAAGAAATGACAAATGATGTTACATACCGTCTATCGAGCTATGTGTTGGAAATCTGTTTACTACGGTGAAGTTTCAATGAATGACTCCTCAACTGTCCAATCGCAGACCGCTTGCAAGTTTTATTAGCCAATCCGAACGCAGAAGGCGGGGCTTGTGGAAAAAACAGGCTGAGCCGCTCGCGCGAGCGTCTGGAACAGGAAGTGAAACCTGCTGCTGCTGAGTGCTTGTAGCACTTTTTTCAGAGAAAGTTGGGTTGCTGTTGACGGCTCCAGGGTTTTGGAAGATGGACAGCCAAGGAAGAAAGGTGGTGGTTTGCGATAACGGAACAGGGGTACGTCCGCAACTCTAACACATAGCATTTATTTTTGGCTCGTTTAGCTTTTTTGAGTAAAGTTTAATGAGAGTAAGGCAGACAGACCCCTAACAGGAAGTCATGAAAGCTTAGCGCAGCTGCATTGACTTTGCCCTCATATTCTTCTCTGCGTTATCCGACACTAAAGTGATTTATATTCTATATTTATCCTCTTTACAAACCAGCGTTCACTTATTCCGCGGACTGTATTCGACACTAGCATCACAGTTCCTGCTAAATGTGGCCTGATTTGGTTGTATTATCCTGTGGTATATAGCTATATGGAAATATAAACACAGTGGCACGAGCAAACATATCGTTTATGGGTCGGTTGCATGACCATACACCGCGTTGCAAATCCTGCAGCCTTGCTAGCTTGTTCCAGTTATTACTACCAAAGTAAAATATTAAAATTAATTTTGCGTCGCTATGGTTACAGATAAGTTACCCCTATGCTATTCCACTCCACTGTGAATGCAGCCTGTTATGAAATCATCCGCTTGCTTTGATAACGCTTTGCATATTGCAAGCACTGGGTGATGTTACTTCCTCACCTCGCCGTTAGAGCTAGTCTCGGTGGAAAGGCGTGTACATCGAGTTTCACTAACGTTGGCGGACGCTGGTCTTTGTAGATGATAACATTAAGTCATTATGCGTTATAGAATTGATGCTTGAACTCGTTTGCCCTGAATGAGGGGGCGTGGTCATGCATCCTGACGTCATGGTTGGTTAATGGCTGGCGTGGGCTGGTTTTCACTCTGGAATCTGGATCTGGAAATAATGTGGTTCGGGAATATTTTAGTAGTGTATTTTTAGTACACAGCGAGTGTGTTTAGGTCAGGACAGCCAGTGGAACAGAGAGCCATGAGTCAGGCTCAGAAGGAAGTGATGTCACCTGTTAAAACCACAGCTTGCACAGAGAACAGGGCTCTGCTTGTCAGACGACCAATGAATGAGCCTGAAAGCCTTCAGACCATTTCTGGAATATGTTAATATGAGAAACAATAGATTGAGATTAATGCAAACAAGTAGTTGTTGGGGATGATTCATAGAGCAAATACTGACAGTGAAGGATGAAACCAATCAGTTAAGCACTGTTCTGAATATTTTTGGTGGTTTCGGCCTTACTGTCAAGCAGCTGTGGATGGAGAATTACCATTAAATATCTTAAACAATATGGGATGTTCTCAATAAGTCAGTAGTCAAGTAGTAGACAGATCAGTCACGTCATGTCATTCACATTGATTTGTTGTTGCATCAAGTCTGGAGAGCTTGAATAAAGTCAAGAGTGTCTGAATTAAGTCAAAAAACTATATTTAAAACGATTAAAAACAAACAAGAAAGTTACAGGCCCCCAAATACTAAATTAACTATAGAATGCAGCAGAAATGAGCCCTAAAACAAGGAAACCCGTTGTAGGCCTGAAATAAACTCTGTGGTTAACACAAGCTCAAGATATTTTCACATTTTATTCTACAGCATAAAATCCATCAGTAATGCCATACTTGGGTTTGTTTTTTTAAAACTCACTTGAGCTCTAAGGGTCTTAAAAAAAAAATGTGTGTTTTTTTTTTGTTATGCTGGTTGAGAGGCGTGGCTTTGGAGAGTGATTTGCAGGGAGGGTGGGATCTTATGCTTTCAAAGCCTCTCTGAAATCGCCTACACTACCTTTAAAAAAGGCGGTTGCTAACAATTTGCTAAATGGGACTACAGAGGCTTCTGCTGACATCAAACTTCAGGAAACCTCATCTACTAGTTTGCCTCACAGCCTCATTGCGTTTGTATTGGTGCTCTTGCAGTCTAACTCAAACGTTTAGATTTGAAATAAAGAGTTGGAAACTTAGTGGTGGTGACACTGATGTCATGCGGCTGCGGTATATTTCTTTTTAGCCTGTAATTTTAGCTTTTTTACATCTGCCAATTGCATTTAGACTTCAATTCTCATAAAAGTTGGGTTAATTTGTGAAGATTATCACGATGAACAATATAGATGCACCGGTCGACTGGCCATAAATAGTGGCTGGATGTTTTTTTTTTTTATTATTTTGGCTGATATCTGTTCATGAATAATCATGATTGGCGCATCCCTAATGAACAAAATATATAAGAATCACAAACTTTTGTTGGTCACAAAGGTAATTTTTTTGCGGTAATCAAAAAATCTGTAAAAAATCTATTATGCTTTTTTTTTATATTTTTTTTTTTATAAGGAAACCAGTGTGATGCTAACTTCTGTATTTTCAACAGCAAAATGTTGTCCTTGTAGCACTCTATTGTACTATTCTATAAAACATATCACATTTGTATCAAAAATCTGTAAATATGAGAAAATGTTAAAATTGTGATTTCTAGGCTTGGAAAAGTCTTACAAAATCTTACAAGGTCATTGAAAAGTCAGGAACCAATTCTACGAATAAATAGTTTTTATAATTATGCTCATCTGTAAAATGTTTAATAAGCTAGAAATTGCTATTTGTGAGTAAAAGCTAATAGATACTTTTACAAGTGTTGGTAACATTTTATGTCCTCGTCTTTATTTATGTGGTGAAAAGCTGTGTAATTAGTGATAGGACTGTACTTTATGCATTAAATGTCTGTCTTGTCTGAACTTCGTCTAGCCTCAAATCCGTTTTTAGGAGCTTTTTTTTCTTTGCAGAAGCTTTGCTTTAAAGAGCAAATAAAATACTTAAACTCAAATCAATATTTTGTGTCTAATCATTTACTTATGTGGCAAGTAGCCATGTAATAAGTGGTATAATGTACATCCAGTACTTCCATCCTCCACTTCGCGTCGGTGTTTATTCTGTGATAACAAATGGCTGGATGTACATTATCCATTACTTTATACATAATAACCTCTGCATCTGTTGACCATAACAATGGCCAGTCATCAACATGTGTTTAAGAAGTCAAAAATTCAGTTCTGTTTTGCTGTCTTGTTGGCTGCTCTTTTTAAAGAAGTAGAGGATGAGCAGTTTCCTTTATTGCTTTTCTCTCTCTCCCTCTCAATCATTTAGTTTGTCAAGTGTGGCTATGCCGGATCCAACTTCCCAGAACACATCTTCCCAGCACTGGTGGGCAGGCCCATCATCCGATCCACAGCTAAAGTGGGAAACATTGAGATTAAGGTGAGCTCCACACTCACACTCTACCTTCCACCCGGTCAGATGATCCATTTGGAGTTTGTTATGGCATTTTCTGAATGACGGTAGGTAATACTCTAAATTGATGGGTTCTCAAAGTTCATTTTTGAGACGTATTTAGCTTAGCTGTTTTAAAGTAAGCCTTCATTCTCTCCTGTTTGTCCTTTTTATACTTACACTCTTTCCTTCTTGTTCTTCACATGATCAAGTAGAATAACAAAAAAATGGTAAGTGCAGCCTGACGTGTGTTTTGTTTAACACTGACTGCCTGCTGAGGAGAGTGTATTACACCATGCAGTATTTCAGTGGTGTCCTATTATTGAGCTTTGATTTCTTTTATTTTGTAGATTATCTCATTCCTTATAATCAGGGCTGGGTGATATGGTTAAAAGAGTATAATATATATATTATATACACACACACACACACAATATTCAATATATGCATATAATTCTATTAATGCATTTGCTCTAAAATGGCTTAAAAGGGTTTGTTCTTTTATTGTCTCTCAGTAACAGGAGCATCATTTTAACCAAACATCTGTTGTAGCAGCTGAATTCAGAATGTTTAATACAAGAAGTAAAATATTAATGCAGTTAAAAAATAATCAAGGCATGTTATCCACTAAATGAACACAAGGATAATTTATTTGTTTGTTTGTTTCTGCATCATACAATGCAATAACATAAACATAAAGTAATATTTACTTAAAACATATTTTTATTAAAGCATTTTAATGTATGTAAAATGCCACAGGGAAACAAAACATTTTGAATCGGTTCACTAATTTGGACAGAATCAATCTAATCAACTCTCATACAGTTTTTTTTCTTAACCCTTTGAAGGGCAAGACCATAAAGAGACATCAGAAAATTAATTTATTGCTATTTTCCA